TCGTTTTAATGATGTTTCTAGACTTCAAGACTTTCACCTTGGAATCCCATATGGTATGTGTGATGGATTGATGAAATTATATCCGGAAAATTTCTTTGTATGGTAATATATCACACTGCCTATAGAATAATTAAACTGCATTTATTGATGCTCTATTGCGTTGCATTTATCTTTTTTCTTTTTTCTTTTTCTTTTTCTTTTTTTTAATTTGGTTTAATGTGCAAATGTAGAGACTAATAGCAAAGTCACTGAATGTTACTGATGCAAAACATATACTTTCATGTCATGTGGTTGCTTCTGTTTTGCAGGTTTGCTTCTCTCTGTTGGTGGCTTCCTTTCCTTCATGGTAACAGGCAGCCTTTCTGCCATTAGGTTTGGTGTCATTCTAGGTGGAACTCTGTTGGCGTTAAGCATCTTAAGTTTAAGATCGCATAAAAAAGGAAAGCGTTCTGTTCTGGCCCTAAAAGGACAAGCAGGTTGGTAAATGTTGCATTACTATAATTGAACTTATATAGAGCCAGAGGAGATAAATGATAAATTGGAAACAACTTATATCTTACACAAAGAGGGATACAGATACACAATATCTTATAGTCTAGCAGTGGCATGTTTTCTTTAAATGAGATTTCTTATATGGTTTATTACATGACCTTCTAGGAGTTTTTTGGCATAACTTTCAATATTATTACTGAAGCAGGCAGCTCTCTATCCACAATGGAAGAGTAAATATTACTGTAGGATTGCAACAGGAACCTCCAACTTAAAAAGGGTTTTGGTTGTGCTGAGAAAAACTGCCATTTTTTTATTGTTTCTACAGTTCTGCAGTCTTTATATTTATTCATGTTACAAATGTAAAATCAATGCAGTCCTACCTCCAGAAAGTCTGATGGACCTTTGGGTTTCGAAGTTTTATTTTGTTTCAATAACCTATGTGGACTGGTCTTTGTCTTTTTTGTTTTTTAGAGAAAAGACATTCATATGATTCCATTTCCCTGTTTTCTATTGTCTGCAGTCATAGCAGCTATAATATTTTTGAGAGACATACGCCTGCTGTCTCAGGTTGGGTTTTTTATTATAACCATTTTAATTCGTATTATTTTCTAAATTCTCCATCAGTTTATGTTTCAAACTTCTGATTTTTCTTTTTCTGTTTTCTTTTTGCAGAGATTAACTTTGCCCACCTTTGTTACAACCTCAATCAGGTTCATAATATTTCATACTTTTTAACTTTTATGTTTTATATGCATGGAATTAATAGGCTGATGTTAGGACCTGGAGAGGTGCTCCTAAGGAGGTTAAACTTAAAAGTATATTTGGCTATAAAAGTCATAGATTTTAACTTGTAGGTAAGGAGTTATAATGAGAAAGGTTAGTTGATGCTGGCAATTCAGCAAGGGTAGAAGAAGAATCAAAGACCTGCTTGAGAACATTGAGGTGGTCCTAGATGAGGTGAGGTTGTAAGAAGGTGAAGCTTAGGGTCTATATAATGCCCACTTATGTTCGTGGTTTTCTGTCTTTGTTTTTAGAAAAATGAAATTCAGTGAAATAAACATGTTAACTTAAGCTGTCAATATTAAAAAAAACTGAAAACTGACAATTAGTTTGGACAACTTTTGGAAACTATGGGTCCCTTTGGTATCATTGTGGATTGTTGTTTTTAGTTTCCTGTTTTGGTTTTAAAATTTTGGAAATGTTCACAGGAAAATGTTTGGTTAAGTTGCTAGATCCCAAATATGAAAGGGTTGCGCAACAGATTTTGGTGACTGTAGGAAGGAAATGAAAAAAATAACATTTCCATTTGTTTCTGGAACTTGATGTTACAATGGAAAACATGCGTAATATAGGTGTGTTTTCAGAATCAGATTCTTCCAATGGGTTCCTTTTTTGTACTCATCTTCTCATTTAGCCTTTTCATCCATGGGTTTGCTTCATCTTTTCTGTTTGTTCTCCTTCAACAAATTTCTGTTTGCCAGCCAGTGGACCACCTTGGGAACCGCTGTTTGGCATCTGACTTAGGGTAGGCACCAAGCAGTGCTCCTATTCCTGAGATATGGAGTCTTCTCTCCATACTCTGTATATTTAAATGTTAAATATTTAGCGTTTAGGGTTGGTCTTATTGTGGTTAGCCATTTAGTCCTGGCACGCCCAGCTAGCAGTCCACCTTGGAGCGAGCTGGTTGACAATCTGTCCAAGGGAAAGTATCCACTCTGTTATAGAAGGCAAACAGTTGGTCTTATTGTGGTTAGCCATTTATAATAAATAAACTAGTTTTAACTTCTATTTTTATAATTATCAAATCTTTAAATATTAAATATCTTTATTTGGTTCAGTTTTGGTTTCTGATTTTGATTTTCTAGTTTCTAAAATGATGCCAAAGAGGACTTAAAAGTTGCCATTTTCATTTTCGGTTTTGGCAGTGATTCTAATGTTGCCTTAAATTATCATATGAACCTATTGCTAGTGAGTAGTGAAGCAGGAATTCATTCTGTTGACTTGTAAATTGTTATATGTTAACATTTTCAGCATAGGGTTAATAATGCTTTATCCAGTTAATTGATTTTCTTCTACTGAAAGAACACAGCCAGGCTGGGAGTTGTTGGTAGGGAGGAGCATTCCAGGCTGGGAGTTAGCAATTTCTTTTAGCGGGGGTCAATTAATGTTACAAGATATTGCTCAATGTGGTCATTCTTAAACCTTTCCTTACTGAAGGGTTTTAACTTTTAAATTTTGACCAATTTTGAGCTGTGTCAACACTCAGAAGGCTTGGCTAGCACAGATTCCAGGATTTAGTTCTCCACTCCCTCGTAGCCTCTTTGTGTTCCTGTAGTAAAAGATCCCACTCTTGAAACATTTATTTTCTACCCAATCTCCCAGACTTGTAAAGGAAACGCATATAGAGTTATAGACTTGGCTGGCACAGATTCCAGGATTTAGTTCTCCACTCCCTCGTAGCCTCTTTATGTTCCTGTAGTAAAAGATCCCACTCTTGAAACATTTATTTTCTACCCAATCTCCCAAACTTGTAAAGGAAACGCATATAGAGTTATAGACTTATATATATGTGTGTGTGTGTGTGTGTATTTTTTGAAATGCATGAAACTTAGACACGGATAATTAGATTCTTAGGTAGTCAACTAATCCTTTAAGAAATGTTGAGATGATGACAATTGAGCATAACCTTAATTCACAAAACAGAATATAATCCTTAGATGATTAAAGCCTACAAAGGCTTTTCTATTACGGTGAAGTCTGTTTTTTCTGATAATATTAATGTTCTCTTTGCAGTGGCGCAATGGTGGTATTCTATTTTTATAGGATTGTGATGAATGCAAAACATAGAAGAGTAGACTTGGAGCCTGGGGCAGAAAATTGATGTACTCCTGTAAGGTTAGTTTGATGTGTATGTATATGTTCTTAATCTTTGTCCTACCAAAGTTTGTTGTAATATATTTTCAGATCCCATGTACAATTACTATGTGTCTATCACGTACAAAAATCGGGACTAGCACTTGTATATTTAGGCTTTGGTTAGTATGATTGTAGTTATTGGTTTTTATAAATTTTGTAGTTTTTGGAAAGCAAGATTGAAATTAAAAAACAAGTTTTAGCACATACAATGAAAAATATAAAGTTATTTAATAGTATCAAAATTATTTTTATTATTATTTATCTAATAATCAAGATAATATATTACAAAAATGAGTTTTTTTGTTCAGAATTGTAAAATTTATAAAAAAATCAAAACATAAAATCACGCCTATACGGAGAGCCTTTCTACCTTTTAGCTTTGTGTTCGACTTAAAATAGAGTTTGGATTGAAACCTTCAGCCGAGAAACAGGACATAATACAGATAGGCACCGTTTGTAAACTCCCATATTTTCAAGTAACGTAGATCTATAATAGCCATAAACTGGGTATGGTTTGGTTTATTTCAGTACATGGATTGTTTATGTCTTTCACTCGATCTTGTTGAAGTAATTTCAGAATCCATTTCAAATGAGAAATTTAATTCGATATTCTGATCCATGTTCAATATCTCAGTTATCCTCCGACTGACATTCCCTTGTTTCCAGGAAGAGAAGTTTTACCTTGCCGTGGTGGCTCTCAAGAAATCAGACTTAGAACCTGTGGAAGAGATGCTTGCTACTGTTTGCCCATTTTATGGGCTTTGTTGTTCTCAAAGATACTAAAATTTGTTTGTTCTTGCTTCTAGTGTTGGGTTCCTAGCAATAACTTTCTCTTCCCCAAAAAAGTTTTGGGTTCTTTTGGTATTTATGCACTTCATTACTATAATAAAATAAATAATACAGTTTGCATTTTAAGTCCATTTTTGCTCTTGATAATATCTCTTCCCCTATTATAGAATCTACCTCTCTGGTTCAGCTTTGAATCCATTGATGGGAATATTTACAACCACTTTCAAAAAAAAATTATTTCTCAGAAAACAAGTAGCAGAAAATATCATGTAAAAGGAGAGCAATTTAAGCACATACCAAGCTAAGAACTTCTAAGGCTAAAGTGATACGCATGATCTCATGTGCATTGGCTATAATATAGATTTACATTACTAAGAAAATTACATTAAAAAAGGAAAAGACTTTCACTCTAAATACTAGTAAATGCAGACTAACTATTAAAAAAAAAAAAAAAGAGCTGCAAGCAAAATATTGAGGACATTGCAATTTGTAAGCAAGTATTGCCTTAATACCAAGTTCCTTATGCCCCCTTCTCCAGCATCAGCCCTTCACGACTCTGGCCAGCCGCGCTGCCTCTAGATCTCAGCATGGACAACATTATTAGGTTGATTATCCAGTGGCATGTACTGTGCCATTATTGCACGTATCTCAGAATCCATGTATCTCTGCAAAATTGTAGAAAAAAATGATAACCGGAGCAACATTATAGAACTAAAAACGAATTTATAACCCGAGTTTGATATCAATAATATGATTGCCAAAGTCGAATCCAATTTTTTTATCTTGAAAAGCATGTCTTCCTCAATCACCTCCAACCACAAGAATATACTCGGTTTCCTGTTCTTACCCCCCAAAACAAACACAGATTCATGTTTTACAGTACATTAAAAGTGCAGTTCACCTTGTAAATTTACTTAAATACCCTTAATAAAATAGTATTAAGAAATAGTTTTATTAAAGGTATTTAAATAAAATTTATAAGGCGAAGTATACAGTCTATCTTATAAAACACATTTTTAAAACACTTTTTGTGAAACAAAAATATAAGACAAAAGATAAGAGAGAGATTTGAAAAATAAAATAAAATAAAATCATACCCGGATCCTGTACTTGTATATGGCATATCCTGCAGCTCCAGCAGCAGCCAAGCCAAGAATAATTACCCAGACAAAGCCCCAACTCACCTCAGTGTTGGTATCTTTACCTGTACATTTTTCCAATGAAACAGGTCAGCAATGTCAAAGCTAATAAACATCACGAGGGTGATATAGAAAGTCTCAAGAAAACTGACACCAGCATTTCCACCACAGTAGGAAATGCAAAACACACTCAATATATGATATATAAAGAGCCCCCCCAAAAAAAAAAAAAAAGAAAAAAGAATGTCAACACATAAGCACAGAGTGATGGCCTACAGGTACTTACTAATGCATGTGTCATGCTCATGCATGTACAATAATCCACCATTACAACTGCACTCGTAACTGCCCCATGTATTTTTGCATTTGCATGCTGGGCATTGGCAGGCCAACTTCTCTTTACATTCGTCAACATCTGGAAACAGCCAAATGCAGAAACAGTTTACCAGCAGATACATAAATGCATGAAGCATTAGACCAGTTTCTATTCCAAAAGAAACTCTAAGAAATTTCTATTAAAGAATATCTGCCTACACAGGCTTAGGAGTAAGGACTTGGTAGGATTGACTAAATGAGTGCACGTATCTGAGCAAATAAAACATGCCTATGGAGCCTGGATATCTACCTCAGAGTTTAATTAGTTGTTAAGTAGCTTATAGCGAGCACTGAGAAGGTCAAAATACTTGCACTTTATGGATCATTTTCGTGTATAATATACTACTTATGCATTCTGTTAAATCTTGACAAGCTGAAAGAAAATGATCCTGTGAACTCTAATTGATAATATTTTAACAAAACCAGACTGTCTCATCAATTTCAACCACTGAGCATATGTTGCTCCTTAGTTACACTAAATCAAAAAAACCAGTTGATGAAAATAATACCTTCACAGTTGACTCCATCGCCCTTGAATCCTGGTGGACACTTGCATCCTTTTGAATTATCATCCTAAAGAGTTCATTAAAGGGCCATATATATTAGGAATAAGAATATGAAAGAGAGAAAGAGAGAGCACTTGAAAGTTAAGCTACTCACAATGCAAGCAGAATATGTCCTTCCTTCTTGTGTTTTCTTCCAGCATCCTCCATTGTGAACCTCACAACGCAAAGCTGCTGAAGCTGTTAAATACAAAAGGCAGATGAATCATTGTAAAGCAACAGCAATAAAATTGAATTTCTGTTGAACAACTTGATGGTACTTATTTTTATTTACAAAGAAAACCATTTACCTTCACAATGTGTATAACCATCTCCAAAAAATTTTACACCATCTACCATGGGGCATTCACAAACTCTTCCACGGAAAGTATCCTACAAGAAAAGCATGGTCTATGAGCAGAAAAGTAACATTAAGGTGGATATAATTTGACTGAATTTCCAGCAAATATCATACCCTGCATGCAGTAATGTTAGAAACCTTGTCCTGCCAGCATCCACCATTGTTTTCTAGACACTCATTAGTTTCTACATCTGCCCATAAGAATACATAAAGAAGCAATAAACGCTGTCCTCATTATAGTCTCTCACAACATTAAGTACAAGTTTATTATCCACAACAGATACTAGGTAGGAAAAGAAAACCTTTTCAGAGAGTATAGCTTTTGTTGCATTGAAAAACTATGTAATAAGAGATTCAGGAAAGAAAGAATCCACAGAACAAAATAACCACCAGTATTTATGCATGTACCCCCTGTTTGGTTTGAAGCAAATGGAGGGGCAAGGGGAAGGGAAGGGAGGGAAATGGAAGGATATCATTTCCCTTCCCTTTCCCTCCCCTCGTTTGGTTGGACTAAAATGAAATAAAGTAATCTCCCTCCCCTCCCATCCAGTTTTTTGTTATCCAAATAGGAAAATTTCTCCCCCTCCCCTTCCTTCCACTCAAACAAAACAAGCTAAGGATATCCAACTAACTACGTTGTTTGGTAGATTGGGAAATGATGGAAAACAAGGTGCTCTGACCATTCAACAAGTTGTGAAAACCAGAAAATTAACATGTTTTAAAGAAGACTGAAAAGTTGTAGAAAACAAAAATATTAAAAGCACAAGTTAGATAGAGGATAACCTTCACTTAAACAAATTGGTGGTTCTGTGGTCTCTTGAAAGCCTGAACAAATTGCCTTGAGAACTGCTCCTCTGTCCAGCTTCCCTGAAACCAGCAGAAATTTAGATTGGCAGAACCAGACAGATAATTAGCTAGCTGTAAATCGTAATTCAAACCTCTGTACTGTCTGTTGTTTATTACGAGAGTTGGCAATATAGTTACATCTCCACGGGAGCCTTTGCCAATCTGAAATAAGAATTTAGCATAACATGAACCATAATGAAATGCTATAGATGAGATAAAATAAAACCCCAGCAATTTTTGAAACAACAAAAGCCCAACCTGGGCATCTTGTTCTGCTTTAAGAACTTGGTTGTCCACATCAGCTTCGGGGTCACCAATACACTGGTCTATCTTCTTGAGGTCAACACCTTCAAACATTCAAAGATTTTGAAAAAATATATATTGACACATTCTCCATATTTTTCAAATTCATATGTAAGCTTGTTCCCATCCATAATGCAGTTTACCGATCAACATTTAAACTGCAAATAAAATTATTGTGCCTCCTAGTTCCCATATCACAAGGCTACATGTAAGCATTCCTTTCCTTGCAGATATAAATAATATGGGTTTACTGAATACAAAATGATCAGATTAAAAGAAAGTTTTATAGCTTCAATTAGAGCAAAACCAGATGAAACAAATGCCCATTATGTGTTTAAATTGAAAGGAAGCAATCTAATGGGCTTCCTTCCCATTTCGATGACAATTACGTGAAAAAGATCTTAAGCCTACACAGTACTAAAACTATGGCAGTATTTTATATAGCCTCAATTGTGATGGGGCCATCTTATATCATGTCTAGTCTCTCATGACTATTTGAATATATAGATGAAACTTAATTATTTATTGATAATTGGAGGGAGAAGACCTTTACTGTTGGACCACAAGATCAAGTGCATATATAGATGAAACATATGCACATTACATTTGAACATCAATAATATATAAAGCCTTAACTTACCAAGAGATTTGATAACATGCTCCGCACATTCTTTGTTATATTTCTCGTCTTTCATAGGACAGCGGATGGCAAAGTCAGTTACATAGTCCCACCATAGCCATGGCTTTCCACTTTCATTAGCAACTTTGAAAAAGCAAGCTTGGCGAAGATTTTGAATAACAACGTCTTTCCCATCATATCCCCTAGTGAAATCCTGCTCAGGATCTGGGGCACAGTACCTTCCATGGTTGATGCACTGAGACTTGCATTGTTTGCTAAGAGCAAATGCTTCTGGGCAGTACCAAGTTATGTAGTGAGGGGTGAATTGAGTGTATTCTTTCTGCTCAAGAATCTGAGCCGCTCCTTTAAAGTTCTTGACAAATTCTATCTGGCTGTCACACTTTGGACCACACTCATCATTACTGTTTGTCCAGAACTCATACTCAACCCGTTCATCAGGATGAGGAAGAGCCTCTCTCCAATCAAGATTCATATTAACCATCTCCTCCGCAGAAAGGGCCTTCTTAATACTGTCACCGAGTGACCTGCTAACAAGCGCAGAGGGAATGGTGATTTTGTCTACGTAATCAGCATCACCCTTCTCTTCTTCAGGGGTGTCCATGGTAATCAATGGCTCAACCTTGCTGTCAGCAACAAGAATAGCTGCAGCTCCAGCTTTCTGTGCATTCCATGCTTTCAAGGTAAAGAAACAATCTGCAACCACAGCAAGTTTATTGATGACAGGAAAGTACGTCCCAAGCTAGTTCAGGACAACATAACAGAAATCTAGAAAGTGAAATCAGGGAACTCTAGTAATTCAGATGCACTAACTTAAGTCTTAACTCTCAAGCTTATAGAAACAAAGTAGGCAACATCAAGCTCATGGAATGCTAACCGTGAAGTATGAAAACCATTTTGCAGATACCAAAATGACATGCAGAAGTTCTCCTGAAGATATAAAATGTGGGCTCAAGTATAAACCCCAGCTGCCACAACACTACTAACGACAAGTTCAACAACTTCCTAACAAATAATGGTGTAATCTTGAAGGTTAA